GTAGAGGGCAGTGTCACTGGCCCTCATATGTGGGATCCGAACCGGGGCCCTCTGGCATCCCAAGCCAGTTCTTAACCATCGCGCCACTTGGCCGGCCCGGGAAGCATTTCTTTTTTCTTGGCCACATCCACAACCTTCTGCTTTATCTGGTGTAATACTTTGCTTCCACACTGGTTTGGTACTCCTGGGTCTCTGACCTCTAATCCTTCTCTTGTCTATGGCCCCAAACTCATACCTTGGACATGATATCGCTCCCCTGATTCTGAACTTCGCCTCTCAGTTTTGGGCTTGATTTGCCCTCTCTACTCAGACAAGAGCTGGCCACTCCCATTATGAACCCAGCCCAGTCAAATTCATTTGCTTTAGCTCTGAATACGTGAATAGAATGGAAGAGGTTATTTTCTTTCATTTCTTAGAAACAGGCATTTTTATTAGTGTCTCCTCAGATGTCATCATTCCCCATCTGTTCCTTGGGCTTCCTCACACACTGCTGCCCCACTCCTGATCTACATCTCTTCACGTACACGTTTTCCTGTTTTTTTCACTCCTCCAACCCAAACACACACACACACACACACACACACACACACACACACACACACACACCTCTAAGTTTATCATCTATCACCTCAACGCTTTTGTCTGATAAGCTATTTGAAGTAATTAATTTTTTATTAATTACTCCCTCCTTTAGGCAGTAGGCACACTTCTAAGATGGACTCCAACAATCCCTGCCCTCCTGGCATCCACATCTTCTCCCCTGAGTATGGACCCAATCTAGTGACTTGTTTCCAATGTATGAATAACACAACTCTGATGGGACACCCCTTCTGAGATTAGGTAACAAGAGACTGTGATTTCCACCTTGCTATTCTCTCTCTTGCTGGCTTTGACAAAGCAAATGGCCATGTTGGAGAGGCCCATGTGACAAAGAACTGGGAATGTCCTCCAGTCAACAGAGAGGTAGGAAGTGCGGCCTTCAGTTCAGCGGGCCTCAAGGATCTGAACCCGGTCAACAGCCACTGAGTAAGCTTGGAAGCACATCCCGCCCCAGTGGGACCTTGACTGCAGCCTTATGGGAGACCCAGAAGCAGAGGCTCCAGTTAAACCCTACCTGGATTCCCGACCCATAGAAACTGGGTATTGTTTTAAGTGACTAAATTTTGAGGTAATTTGTTATATGGTAATAGTTAAATAATACAGACTATAACAACTTGTTAGAGTTGGTGAGAAGATTTGAAGTCTATAGGCCCAACTGCCTAATATAAGAACTTGGAATTTTAATAAAGAGAAAATAACTTAATTTAAAATGTTTATGTGCACCTTCTTATGCTCAAAAACTATGCATTAAATTAGAGAAAGAATGAAAGTTGGTTTAAAAAGTCTTCTTGAATACACAGATGGAGTTATTCCATTCTGACTACTATTATGGATGATCTTAGATGTCATTTGGTATAATCATCGAGCATGCAGCAGCCATTTTATTAATTCAACAGTGTAACGAATACGTATGATCATTTCATTTTTATACTGTCTGATAGTACTGGACTGAACTGCTCATCCTATAATTTGGTGTGGTAGGAAGGATTTTAGGATTGGCCCCCAAATGTCCGCCCCCTGGGTATAGATGCCCTGTATAACCCCTTCCAGCTGAGTGTGGTAAATATGATGGGATATCATTATCATAATTATATACCAGTATATGAAAAAAAATTTTTTTTCAGATGTAATTAAGGTCCCTGATCAGTTGGCTTTGAGTTAATCAAAGAGAGGTTAGCCTGGGTGGGCCTGACCTAAGCAAGTAAGCCCATAAAATAGAAACAACAAACAGCAACAGATGTCTTTCTGTTGGTACTGAAGAAGCAAAATGCAATGTTGTAGAGACTGCCATGTGGCAGTCGAAGGGATTAACAGCCCACAAAAGTGGTATGAAAATTACTTAGAGCTGAAAACCTCTGAACAATCGGCTGCCACAGAAAGAAACACTATCTAAACTTAAGCAGAGCCTCTGAAAA